CCCCCCCCCCCCCCCCGGAACGTGGTGTTAGTCAGATTTTTCTGGTTGTTTTGAAATCTTTGAGATAGAGCTTTGTTACGTGCTGTTTTAGCACCGACTATTGATAGAGAAGCTAGATGTTTCTTCATTACTTTTTATGAAGATTTTTCTTCTGTTACTGGAAAGTAACCTAATCCATTCCTCATGACATTGCATGCACCCACCTGCCTTAAAAAGAAAATGTAGAATGCGGTCTTTTGAACACAGTCTAGTACATTGTTGAAATTTGTGAAACTAATGGAGAATACTCAAACAGGTATTGGACTTTATGTTTTTACACTTCAAAGGTATTTTCTTAGGCACCAAAGTGTAAAATACATACACCCAAAGAGTAAGCAGGATTTTATAAGCAGGATTTCACGGTTGGCTGCAGTAAACTTGTTTCTCTCTGGAAAGAGTTCAAGGAGTCAGCCACAGGGAGTGCTAGCTGTGTCCCAGCATTCACACAGCTGCAGGACAGACAAGTTCACTCCTTATCTTAAAAAGAAGCTCTCCATGGACCTGAAAAGTGAATTCCATGTTCTCCTTGCACATGCAGGCTGCATGCATGGATGGCATTTCTGGGTTCTGTAACCCATTATATACTTGATAGCCCCAGGCTTCCTTTTTGTCTGTGCAGTAACCATGCTCAGATTGACCATTCAGGTAGGGAATCAGATTCTTGTTCCCTTCCTATATGTGAGCCCACTCTATTTGTGAGCCAGAGCATCAGTTATGTGGTCTTTTCTAAATTATGTTTTGTTATTTCCTTAATGTTATTTAAACTTCATGGAACTTATTCTGCATTTGCCAAGTCTTTCCGTTGAATAAATATCTCCATAACCTATTGCTTCACTTTGGTAACAGAATTGTTGCAATTTGTGGTCAAAACCGAGCAAAGACCTCACTCATTTTTTTTCCTCTGTAAAATGTCCAATGTTGCTGGCTTCCTTTTTCCTAAACAAAGGCCTTGACTTGTTCTTTGTTCTGGTAGCACCTGTCCTTACTGAATAAAGATTTACAGATAATAATACAAAACAAAGAATGACTTAATGGCCACCACAGAGACATGCTACCCCTATACAAAGTCATTAATACTAAATTAGTTCAGACTCAAAGCACTTAGAGTATCACCTGTTATATGGTAAGTGAACTGTAAATCAGGATCATCAGAGTTCTATAAATTAAAAATTATCATTCTTTTCCTCCATCTATATGAGTAATTTTTTTTTTCCTTTTTGTCTTTTTTACTGACCGGTAACGGGATCGCAACCCTCGGTGTTGCGCCCGCACCATGCTCAGCCAGTGAGCAGGAACCGGTCTCCACACGGGATCCGAACCCTCGGTGGGAGTGCCGCCACGCTCCCAAGCGGCGCACTCTCCAGTGCGCCACCGGGCTGGCCCTATATGAGTAATTTTATAATTCCCAAATTATCAAAAGTAGAAGAGGTGTAGCTGAACATCCGGGTTGACTTAGGAGGGGCCAGATGATCCAGAGGCTGATGGGCTCTGGAGGGTGACCATCAGCTGCTCACAGATTGAATTATTTACTCAAAATTATCCCTAAAACCTTATAAAATGCTGCCTGAATATTCAAGGAAAGGAGACCGAAGGAACTAACATTTGCTGTTCCATTTGGGGCCAGACACACATCATCTCATTGATTCTTTACGACAACCATATCATTTGTTCACTAAGTGCTTTTGATTTGTTTATTTGCCTTTTTGTTTTAAGTTCCCTGGATCCCTAGCTGAAGAGTTGTGAAAAGAGCTCATAGTGATCCATTATTGTCTCACGGTCTGCACTTCAAGGCCTGACTCAGGATATGTTAGCAGGCTTTCCCAATTCTCTTCCTTTGTTGAGGGCATTGAAGCTTAGCTGCCTCATCTACGTGGTCGTGTAATTATTTTCCCTTGACCATCTCTTCCCCAGGAAATCTTGCCTCGGTTGGATGATATAATCTTGTTGATGTTCTTTTTCTCAAGTTTCTTCTAGTTCTATGATTCTCTTAGAGCTCAGAATCGGAAATTATGCTAATTGCCTAACTAGCAATGGGTACTGCAGAGAAAACAAAAATTGCCTTGAGAAATATTGGCTTGGGGCAGTATAAGAAAAGGAGAGGACAAAGGGCAGGAAGAGACACTTCTCCAAAGGCTATAGAACTAGAAGAGGGCCTTGAGCAAACTGTATTTTTCACGTTTCCTGTGCACAGCACAGTGCCTCATTCTGTAGCTACTGGGTCATGTTGACTATTGATGTGGATTTAATGATAATGACGGTGGCTGTGCCACTATCTTCTTTTGGAGTCTCATAGGCTGATGGGGAGTCCCAACCCCACTCCTTTGCCCATCCTTCCATGCTGGTAGCCCCTCTTTACCCCCTACATATCTTTCTCTCCAGTGCTTCAGTTTTCATGTTCCTCATACCATATTTTTTCAGCCAAAAGTGCTACCCAGAGAAACTGAATCAAGATCAAGAACCCATTTTCATCTTTATATTTTCGTGGTGTTGGGAGACAGTGTTGTGAATAAGGGAGCAGATCTAAACAGAGGAGAGTGTATAAGGAAAAGCTAGCGTCCCAGCGTTCACTGCCTTCAACAGCAGGATGAGGAATTCTTTGGAGGTCAGAGGCTGACGCCGGCTTCTTCTAAGATGCCTGGAAATCCTGTGTTGCTCTCAGCATTGGATCTGTTACTCATTTGCTGATTAGCCAAAGGGGACTATTTGTCCGTCCTTTTTCTGAAATGGAGGTTTGATTTCCCGTGAAATCGTAGAATACTGAGCCAGAGGCACCTCAAGACCTCCTAGGCACCCCTTTATTTTATAGCTGAGGAAACTGAATCCCAGACCTGTGGGGCATCATAATCCGCCAAAAGTTACACAGCAGCCGAGTGATACAGAAAGACCAGAATCTGTCCCCAGCTACAGTCAGCACCCTTTTCCCTACACTGTTTGCTTCCTGATGAAAAGACCCAATTTCTCAATGAACTGCAGATTTTTATACATTTTATACATCTGTGAAAGCTACTTTTTATTCCTTATTACCTGCTGTCATCTTATCCCTGCTTTTTTTGCAAAGAGATTTTCTTTTTGCCTCTTAGTTTAAACTACTGTATCTTTGTAAGAAAATAACTAATTTTCAACCATATTTCGTGATGAACTTTTACTCGTGGTAATTAATGGTGAAACTCCTGAGATTAAAAAGGAAAGAAAAGAAGAAAAGTAATTGAAATTTTGCTTTTCCTTACAGACACTCTGGAAAATGGATCCAGTAAGGGTGACAGGTGAGCAAGATGTTTTTGTTTGCCATTTGTGCTTTTCAGTGGTGGCATTTTCGATGCAAACTACAGTGAGTTTGATCATTTCTTTCTGTTTTGCTTAAATCCAGTGCAGCTAAAAGAAAGGGACCCAGCAAGGAGGACACATACTGGAAGGAGATCAATGCAGCGATGGCCTTAACAAATCTTGCACAGGGAAAAGACAAACTGCAGGGGACTACTAGCTGCATCATCCAGAAGTCGTCCCATATAGCAGAAGTAAAGACAGTCAAAGTGCCCCTGGTGCAGCAGTTTTAAGAGCTTGTCACTTTTCAGGTCTAATGGATGTTCTTCATGTCAATGTTTTTTTGTAAATCCTCATCCTAAGAGCCGAAGCAGGAGTGAAAGATACTCCCTTTCAAAACTCTTCTTATTTTTAATTATCCAAAATATATCATTTAGTTGCTTCTATAAAAGACATATAAATTATAAAAAAAAACTCATTTTAATCAAAAATATTAACTTATTTTATGTTACTCAAACTATGCATAAAATGTCTGCATTACCATTACAGTAAGTGCCTTGCTTCCCGAAAATAAGCTCCAACGTGGGCATAGTGGAACAGCTATGCCTCAAAATGCCAACGCCGTATGCTTATTAGTCTGTGTGCATCATTCCAGATGGATGCAATCATTCCAGACCTGAAACCAGAATTGCTCAAAGTCCTTGAAATATATTCGATAATTCACATGTTAAAACGTGGAAATCTGTTCAGGCCAAATGAAATGTTCCTTTAAAAGAACTTCTGCAGTATTGAAAATTGTTCAATGTGCTTTTCAGGGTGATGGTGGGAACTCCATGCACGCATCTTGCCTGCATATCTGATGTGTTACAAACTTCCAAAGTGAAAGGTGTGGCAATCCATCCACATAATGCGTACATTTAAGAAGTGAGTCCTTCAAACTAATTTAAAATTGCAATGAATACATTGTGATCAGAAAAACTTTTTTCAAGTACTTCTGGAAAGCACCACAATGCCCTTTAGAATTAATTTGGATTTTCTTTTTCTCAAGTTTTGCTAAAGTTTTTAAAAACTTTATTATATAAATAACTCAAAATTTTCCTGTTTAAAACTAAACCTATAGTTTAGTTTTAAAACATAATCCTGTTTGCATTAGAGTTCAGTGTTTTTTGTGATGGAAACTTTTTCAAACGGAATGACTAAAAACCTTTATTTGGTTCATTTCAAATTACAATTGCTGATGGACAATTTGTACTGCAGTGAGAACAAGACAATGAAAGAAATGTATCTCTGTGAATATACATATACACGCATAAAATCGGTTTTTAAATTTGAAACATATGGAAAACAAACATTAAACAGTCTCTGAATTTTGCCAAGTAGGACATTAAAGTAAAAATTAAGTGAAATCATGCATTAAAAGAAAGAACATTTTGTTTCTAAATTAGGATTTAGAAACTACCATTGAGTGAGAATAATCAATATCAAGAGAGAAAAATGTCTTTTTCAATCAAACAATAATGTTCCAATCAGCTTCGGAAGATATGAAACTTGACCAAACAGTGGAGATGCCAAATATAACAGAGTGTATATGCTACAGAGAAGTAAAAAGGATTTGACTCTTTTATGATGGGATTTTTTTTTCTGGGTGTGTAATGTATTTTGTAATTTTTTTTTTTTTATACTGGAAAGTATTTTTTGTGAGTGTCAATGAGAGCCAGTAGTGCAGCCATGTGGTGACATTTTTCTTTATTTTGCAAAATGTTTTTAAAACCAAAGCCTGTTCTAGTTACTATATGGACAGTGTCAGTCTTGATATAAATTGTAGGACACTTTTTTCACGTAACATAGCATTTGGGGATTGGGTTTACTTCGTGTAATGAATATAATTTGATATAAAAATATTTTGTGTATATAGATATTTTTACTTTGTTTTTTAAATTGCTGTTTGCAGTAACAGTAAATGCAAAGCAAGATATGTTAAGTTATGACTGTATGATCAGATGAAGTATGAGTTCTTTTGGTTTACATCCTTAAGTAGTTAGTTATCCATAATAAAAACTTTGGAATCTTTATGAAACAATTTTTCCAAAATGTGAGCATGTAAATGAAAACTAAGGACAAGTACTTCACTCTTTTTCATACTATTTTTGTAAGTTATTCTGGTATTAAATATTTTAAAGAAGTGTTTTTGACATATTTCAGTTAGATGAATGAATGCTGGTTATATTTTATTTGAATTAATCATGATTCATTTTTGCCATCTCTTTTTTAAAAAAATCAGCAAATTGGTTCTGTGTTACAAACTGTAGATGATAAGTCAATATAGGACAGCTGTTCACATGATTTTTTAAAATACCAAAGCTTGGAGACTGGCCTGTAAACATGTCAAGAAGATTTTATAAATAGCACATGCTTGGCAATATCTTCAATTGCAATTACATTTAATTTATTTTTTTCTTTTGCTGCTTTAACATGTTCTGGAAATTAAAGTCCCCCAGTCTTTTAAAAGGTCTTGAACAATGCTGAGCCAGCAGCTGAGAATCTAACTCATAATTTATGTTGTAGAGAAATAGAATTACCTCTCTTTGTTTTGCCACATGTAATCATTTTAATAAAATTAATACCTGCCAGGAGTTCTTGACAGATTTAAAATAAATGTTAATTTCTAGACCTCACTGATCATATGAATTTTGTTTTCCCGTGAGAGTTGACCAGGTGGAGAAAGCAGTAGAACAGAAGGGTCCATTATACACCGCAATTCTCCTTAGGTTGGGAAGGGATATGATATGGGAGTGCTACATTTGTATTAGGTTTGAATTTCAACACCTTAGACCACCAACCCACCTTTTAAGAGCCTAGGAAAAGAGAGAGTGATGCTGACTTTTAATATATAACTTTAAAGTGAACATTTTCACTAAATATCTGAGTAGCTAATACAGTAAACATTATTACTGGTGTGCCCTGTATGGGAGAGAAAACCTTGACTTCGAAGCTAGACAGATTTACATTTGAATTCCGCCTCTGCCCTTCAGTACTGAAAGATCCAGACTCAGTCACTCTCATCTTGTGTCTTCACCTGCAAAGTAGCAGTAAGGAGCTATATACTTCGTAGAATTTGCTCTAAGGTTAAGATAATACACAACATATAAAGTGCCTACCACAGTGTCTGGCAGATCACAGGTGTTCAATAAGTGGCAAGTATTGTCACATAATTATAACTCCTCTGTATGGAGTTTGTGCACAAAAAGTAGAAATATAAATGGAACATGAGACATGGTACTTTAATGGAGAGCTTTGGGAAAGGAAAGATATCAGACGTGAAAAGCTGCAGTGCGATGGTGAAATTTGGTATCAGAGTTAGAAAGATCTCAAGGAAGATCATTTTACTATGACTGAACTACCTGCCGAAGAGCATAAAGTAGGGTAAAGGTAAGAAAGAACTTGCATGCCAGTAGACAACACAGCAAGTGCAAACACTTCCTTCATTCAGATAAACAAGAATTGCTTTTCCCTCTATTTGTCCTGCTTGATACTGTTCAAGATGACTAAGAACTCAAGCTGTCTGTGTTCTCTACCTGCCCCAAGTAGCAATGGTCAACAAACAGTGACAACGGCCATGGTCTGCTTTTAGGCTCACCCAGTTCAATGGCGTAACATCATGCAAATAAACACAGAGAATCTGAGCAAGCCAACCAGGCGGGGTGGGGGGGTGGTCAGAAGTTGGGCTGGCACATTGTGGCTTTGCTGCTTCACTCTTTAGTGACTGGTGAATAAGCATAAGCCTCCATGCCCAGTGTCCGCATCTATAAAATTAGATCTATGAAATTTACCTACTCCAGAGATCTGTTAGGATTTAGTGAGACAGCAGATATAAAAGTGCTTTGCAAACTGCATGGCACTGTACAAATGGTAATAATTATGAGTGTCTTTAACATAACCTTGGAAGGCCTAATATTCCAAACTTTTTGGCAACATAAATTGTGGTTTCCAAGGAGCATATAGGACCCCTAGATTTTATCAAATATGTGTTATAGTCTACCATCTTTGGGACTTTCTGAGCACTAAGAGCTTCTTGGTTCTATACTTCCTTGCAACAGTTATGATCAGAATTAGATAATTGATTGTCACACTGCAGGGATAGGATTCCGATTCCACCATTTCCTAGCTTGGAGACCCATCTTTGAGATGGACTAAAAATTTGGTTTGGGAGATGTGTACATTGGTCATAATAAACATTTTTTAAGGTGAGAAAAACAGATTTCTGAGTTTGGAAAAACAAGCTGATGGGTTCTTATATCTTTACACAAACGACTCCATGGGAATTCATCCCATGTAAGGATTGTCTCCGTAAGTCTTCTAAAACAAATTTTAGGCCAAAGCCAGTTTCTGAAGATTTGACCTGCAGTGAGTCTAATCTGTTACTCTTGACCTTTAAACAAAATTTTAAACTTTAATTAGCATTTTAAAAATTATAACTTATGCTAGTTGTAGGAAAATTTAAGCATTAGAGAGAAGGGCACAAGATAAAGATCCCCAGGCCCTACCTCTTCACAATCCCAAATTCATATCCCAAAGATAACCATGTACAACAGTGTCTTGTGTGTGCTTCCAGAAACTCGGTGCATATATAAACTGGTACATTTTTATCTTTCACTTATTATTTTCACACTGCTCTGCAACATTTCTTCCATTCTCTCATGTGTGTGTGTGAGTGTATCAGTATGTGTAGATTTCATTATTTTAAATGAATGCACAGGATTTTATTTTTGAATCTATTATAATTTATTTAGTAAATACCCCATCGATGTACCTTTGCATTATTTCCAATTTTTTGTTATTATAAACGGTGCTACTTAAAGTGCTGTTTCACATTGAGATAAGGAGCTTGCACCAGAATACGTATAAATTATCGTAGTGCTTTCTTCATCAAGAAAGTCTATGAAAAAAAAATAAGCTGAACTCACAGAGCCCTTAGAAATGTAGTTGATTTACATTGAGTAGCACTGTTATAAACTGACTCAGTGAATATTCTTGTACATTTATGTCTTCAGCCCCTAAACATCTACAGGATAGATTCCTAGAAGTGGAACCAATAAGTAAAATGATAGGTACATTAATGATGGATGTTGCCAAATTACCATTGAAATTTTTCACCAATTTACACTTCCAGCAATAGGGTGTGAGTTTCTGTTTTTCCTCAACCTGGTCAAAACATTGAATATTATCAAACTTTTCAGTATTTGACAGTGTGGTAGATAAAAATCATATCTCATCATTATTTTAACTTGTACTTTTTTAAGACAAGTAACACTGTACATAAAAACTTATTGACCACTGGCATTTCTTATCAGCGAACTGCTTGTTCATTTTCTTTTCTTTCTATCTTTCTTCATGTATCCATTTGTAAGAGATTGGTATGAGCTCTTTGTATATCAGAAAATTCAGTACTTTGTAATATATGTTGCAAATATTTTTCCAGTTTGTTGTTTATATCTTTTTAAACTTTACTTACAACATTTTGAAATTCAAAAGCTTAAACGTATACATAGGTTGTATAGGAGGTACTGCATATATCTGGTCATCTTAGAAGCAGTATAGTGTGTGCAGTAGTTCAGAGCACAAACTCGAGCTGGACTGCTGAGGTTCAAATCATCTCTCTTCTGCTTACTGGCTCTACAACCTTGGACATGACACTTAACCCATCTATGCTTCGATTTCCTCATCTGCAAAATATGGATCATAATAACACCCACTTCTAGTGTCAGAGTGAGGATTAAACTAGTTATTATACATAAAGCACTTAAAACAGTACCTGGCATATAGTTAGTGCCAAGATTGTAAAAAGATTCATCCATGTTTTCTATTAGTTTTATGGTTTATTTTTATATATTTAAATCTTATACTTGTTAGCAAATTAATTTGGCATAGAAAGTAAGCTAGGTATCTGGCTCTCCCCTAAACATTCCTCTCTGCTCCCCCATGAAAGAAAAACTAACTGGTTGTCTCAAAACTATTTACTAGATAATCCACCAATCTAAATACTTACTTCTGAACTCTTTATCCTGTCTTTTCCTAGTAGTTGAGTATGGAGTGTTTCATTACCATTCTTACTTCTCACAATTTCTTGGCTCTTTCCTCATCTTAACTTTTAAAGGTATACATTATAAATTATGTTATCAGATCCCTACTCCTGCCAAAAGCATGCTGGTACTTGTGGATCGCATGAATATATAGATCAATATACACTTTGTAATATTGATTTTTATTATTCAATTTTTTTCTTCCATTTGATCCTCAGTCGAGTTTTAGTTTCCTTCATGTTTCTTCTTAATTTTATTTGTTGTTATTTATTTTTGTGTTTCATTTGTCAATATGATTTTTCCATTGTAACATAATCTTTATTATCATTTGTTTGTAGACAAACTAGACTTTTTAAAATTTTTGTTTGCCAGTCAATTAGGATTTTATTTTTTAAATAAATTTTTCAGATATTTCACATGGATTTCCTGGTATACAGTCATATTATTTCCAAATAATGAAAATTTACTGATTCCTTTCTGATATTTATACTCTATTTCTTTCTCTTTTCTTGTGTATTGACTAATATTTCCAGAACAATTTTTAATAAGGGGGATGATAGTGAGCCCTTTTGTATTTTTCCTTACATTAATGGGATTACCTGTAGTGTTTAAATATTTATATATAATGGATGTTGGTTTGAGAGTTATTTTTTTCGTATTTTAAGACAATATTCTTTCATTCTGAATTTACTAAGAGATTTTATTATAAATGGATGTTGATTTTTTCTAAACATTTTTGAAAATTGTAACATAGAAAAATTCACAAACCTTAAGTGTACAACTCAACAAGTTTTTATCAAGAGAATATAATTGTATAACTATCACCCAGATTAAGATTAAGAACATTATAAGTATTCCAGAAGCACCCCCGCAAAGATAACTATTTTTCTGACTTCTGCCTATTTTTGAAATTTAAGTAAATAGAATCATAGAGTTACACTTGTATTTCTGCCTTCTTTTGCTCAATATTACGTTTGTGAAATTCATCCATCATATTGTATATAGCAGCCATTCATTGCTTTTTATTGTTATATATCATTGCATCACTACGAGAACATACCACAAATTATTTACACATCCTACTGTTGATGGACATGTGGGTTGTTTTCCATTTGGGGGGCTATGATGAATAACACTTCTATAAACATTCTTATATAATTCTTTTGATAAATTTATATGTGCATTTTTGTTAGGTAAGAGTTGGTCTTTTTGAGTTATGTTCAGTTTTAGCGAATATTAGCAAATAGTTTTCCATAGAGGTAGTATCGATTTATAAGAAGGGTATGAGAAATGTAGTAGGTCCACAAACTTGCCAGTTTGAGTATTTTCAGTTTTTAATGTTTTAGCCAGTATGGTGGATTTTAAGAGGCATCTTGTAGTTTGAATTTTTGTTTTTAATTTTAAAGCAAAATAATATTTATTAAATATATTGATGTTATTTAATGTAAATATTTAATTAATATTTTATTTGTGGTTTTAATATGTACTGACTCTTTGGATAGTGTGGCAGTGCCTGTTCAAGTTTCTTGCCCATTTTTGTGTTGGGTTGCCTGTTCTTTTCTTACTGATTTTTAAATGTTCCTTAATACATTCT